GGCTGATTCCTAACTATTGCATATGATCCTGTATAGTTAGAATGTGGGACAAGTAGCAGCATCATTGTTCTGGGCAGTGATAGTAGAAGCAGCAGAAGCAGCAGCCACAGCAGTATTCGTCGTCGTTGTCGTCATCGCCAGACTGTTAGGAGAAGCAGGCAATCAAAGACAATACAAACAACCGAGCCGACGAATAATGCTTATGTGTACATATGGCTGCAAATGTGCATGCACATGGATGCATAAATAGCAGACGATGCATACGTACCCACATACATAGGTGCCTACAGATATAAAACAGAGCACGCGCATATTCCACATTTTTCTTTATAGACACACACGCACCCTGCCCGAAATGCTTTCAGTTCCAACCGGGTCCCTGGGTTTTTGAAAGCCTGAAGCCACCAGAGGCGTAGAGACCGTCTCTACTTGCCCACATCTAGGAAGAATTTCGTCAAATCTAAACTAGGCTGATCTGCCGAATCTAGCCATGTGTAGGTGCAGAGTTTCAAGTTCAAGCGTGTAGAACTGGAGCTCAAACAGTTCGGTGACGTTCGGTGTTCAGTTCAGGAGAACCAGAAGCCCTCCTGCAGGCCATGTCCCCCGGGGACACCTTGAAGCAGCAGATCCAAAACGACGCCAAGAGTGAGGCCGTCGCAACTGATCTCTGTAGTACTGGTTTCGTTGTGTTCTTTTTTCGCGTGTTATCGGAGTTTCTTTTGCGCTGCTGCTCTACTATGCCATTCATTCCAACTATTACCTAGCGATTGCAATCAGGCTGTTTCAGAATTTTGGCCTTGTGTAGCTGTGCTTTGAATCTTACCAACATGACGGTTGACCATCTGTGCTGCCGCGTTGTCTCGTGGCCCTAGTTTCTGCTCCCACGGTGATATTCTTACTGGTCTGGTAATATGACATTCACGGATGAGACTGGGAGAGTTTCGCTTCGGAAGTAGATCTTGCTGGGGGTTCGAAGCTCGGAGTCCCGAGTTGCAGTTGCAGGCTCCAACCGCAGCCACGACGGCGAATCCGCCAAGACCGAAAGGTGCAGGTGTTCCAGTGGGCGGGGGCGGGTCCTTCGGCTGGCAATTCAGGTGCTAGGCTTGAGGTTTCCGTTGTTGGAGGTGCGAAGTTGTTGATTTGAAGAACTCGAATGTTCGGTCCTTTGCAGATTGTGCTGACATCCTAGTAGGGAGAATAGGTCAACTACTGGGTCGCCTAGTACGACGTACTTACGCTGTGCTAGGCTGCTGTGACTCTGTGAAGGGACGGCTGCCTGCCGGCCAACGGCAAGGTTTAGTGGGGGCACTTGAAGCGAGTCATGTCGGCGGGCCGCATGACTGTAGGCGCGGTTGGTACTGGTAGTTGTCGCAAGACTGTTTGGTTGTCGGCTTCACTTCGGATCATGAGGGTCTGCTTCAGACTAATTGCTACTATCGATCCACCGCAGGTTTTTTTTTGGGTTCTTGGTTTGGAGTTACAAAAAGAGTCGTACATTTTTTTGTGTTGAGTACTTTGAGGGGACGGCTAGTTTCGAGAACGGAACAAGATAAAAAAAACAAAACATTGCCGAAGTGCTTTCGGTTGAGGTTCTGTATGGGTACTGCTGGTTGCACCGATGTAGCCACGATTTTCATGATGTAAACACACATGCCGGCGCGTGTGTGCGAGTGTGTGCACGTGCGTGTTTGCGTTCGTAGGGCGTGTGCCGTATGTGGGAATGGCTTGTTCTAAGTCTGACTTGTTTTGCATGTTCGGTTTGGGGACATAGCGACGCTTCCTGGAGTGTGCTGGGCTGGGGCTTTTCCACATCCGAAGCCTTTACCTTGAACGCAAGCATGGACAGCCACATGTGCTTGTTGGGCTGAGTCACGGAGGCTGCCCAGATCCAGCGTTTTGCTTCCATTCGTGCGGTTGTCTTGAAATCAGATGACATTTTCTTGCGGCGTCATCATGACAAGATCACCGCGGTTGGGATCCACTGATGGTAGTCGCGCATGTCAGATGTACAGCCGCCCAAGCCCAAGCCTAAGGACTGTCCGAACCCGGAAGCCTTAGGGCCTGAGAGAATGCCATCCAAGGAAGGGGAAGGGAAAAGTCGCCCGGAGCCAAGGAGAGCTTGCAAATCGTGTTCGCTAGCCCGCTAGCCACTAAAATGACATCCCAGCAAAGCCCATGACTCTCCAGACCGTCGAATCAACTTTTAGTTTGGAGGCTTCGGAGCCCATGCCCTTCATCCGAACTGCTGGAAACATGGAGCTCTGTGCCTTCAACTTCTCAGGACCCGAAAGCTGAACACCCAAAGCCAGAAAGTTGTGAAACCCCAAACTCCGAGCCCTGACCATGCAGCCTTGATTTGATGACCCCTGTTGACCCCTGACTCATCTACGAAACATCTTCCAACTGGGCAAGCAGCGGCTACGATGTCAATCTTTTGTGCTGCTTGGAGTTTTTTTTCTCGACAAGTGAAAAGGCATGAACCTCACCTGGCCTGTCGGAGGGCATACACACTCTTCCTAAACCGGGGCCCTCACCACCATCCAGCCGCAGAGCTTTGCTTGCACCGAGGCCAAGGGCGGCAAGGATGGTGTGAAGGCCCTCGGAGTCGGTATCCGGTGGAATTACCGTAAGTGTGACTCGAGGAAGTCTAGGGCGACGGCTCATGGCTCTTCTCAATTGTGAGATTGCTACTGCGATCTTGCGGCCGAGCATTCAGGAGTCACAATTGACAGACTGAACCGCATCCCGCCTGGTCCCCCCTTGTTCTCTTGGCTTCCCCCTTGGCCTTGTCACGCCATACAATGTGGCGCAATGTAGTGCAAGACAAGGTAAGGAAAGTGAGTAATTTAGCGTAGTGTATGCATGCATGTATCTAGAAATCTAGAGTGGTCTTGCAACTAGCCAACCCGGTGGGGATTTGGCCGTAGAAAGTTCAGCCACGTTCAGCCTTTATGGACCAACCGAAGCTTCCCCTCAAGAATGCACCGTTTTAAACCATGCCAAGGCTTGTGACGCCTCGGCTCCAAAACCCTAACCGCCCTAACCCTTAAACCTGTGGACTCCAATCCGCAAGTTTGAGAACAGTAACCAGGGAGCAGCCTGGTGTCTAAGCGTTTAGAATATCAGGGCACGCCAGAAGGAGCTCCCGGACGCCGTGGGCTCAGTCTCCGGGAGTCCGGTCGAAGGTGGCGAGGTTTTGTCAAGATTTTGTTGGGGGGACTGGGCTTAAGGGTTGCGCGGTCGTCAGTTTTGGCAGTTGAGGCTTTTGAGTGAGGCGCAGAGGGTACCAAGATTTTTGGTGTCGTGGATTCTGGAGGGCATCGAGGAGGCTTCTGGGATTGAGGGGTTGCAGGTTTGCAGTTCCCGGCCATCAGATGATGTTTGAGGCTTCGAGGTTTGTAAGCTGGCATCTATGGCCGACATTTACTTGTACACAACACCTGGTTTCAGGCACGGGCATACAAATTCTGCCACTCTGCAGAGCATCGAGAATCGGGAGAAAACACCTAAACCCCGTGAAATTGCTCAGCTGCAGACTGATAGAAGCAGCCTGACTTTTGCTCTCGTCGAACTTCCGAGGTGCACCAGCAGTGGATATGACGCAGGCGCTGCGGCCTTTTTCCATGGAGACGGATGAAGGTTGTGTAGCCAATCTTACAGAACCCCAGGTAGCTTTATTCCTGGTTTCGACAAAGTCCGGATGCCGAAGTGCCCTCCGGGTGCTTAAGGCATATTTGGCGAAGCTCTTGGAAGCTTGTTTGGGGTGGTGCGTCTGTGCTACCAGCTGCGCATGTGCACTTCGGGGACGGCGCTTCCATGCTTGAGGGTTTCGGCTGTGTCAAACTTGTTCAAGATGTCCGTGAGTCTGAAGAGGCAACATAGAGACATAGATGTCTTTGGCAGTGATACCATGGAATTTTAAGAGCAGCATCTTTGAAACAACAGTTTTTGTTTGTTGTTGGACAACGTTGAACAAGCTCCAGGTGCCTGAAGCCAAGTCGACCTATCGTGAGGCTCGGGGGGCCGATGGTGTCAGGTTTTGAGACCAAGCGGAACCAGTACGTAGTTGCTCAGTTCTGTAGGAGGATTTCTTTTGGGTGCTTACTAACGGCCCAGCTGCTCAGCTCCGTCTAACCAGACTGAAGGTTCCCGATTCCCTTCCTGTAACAGGTATGGTCGGTATGGCTTGCAAGGCAACCTGCACTCCCTGCACGACAAAGCGTGGCTCTTCTGGTTCCGTGACAAGCTGAAGCCCTAGGCCCTGACTCATGCCTTAGAGCCGACTTGTGAAGCCCTCAACGATCCCAAAGATCACGCTTTCATCCTCCGCCCCCTCGAGCCCTCGGGACCGTGATCGCCTGACGCCCACTCACAAGGCACATTGGAGTTTAGGTGCAGGATTAAGGGTCTTTGCAGCTTCGTGCAGGCTGTAGTTTTCCAGACTTCAGGGCCAGGGGATTTCAACCGCGCTCATGACTCCACTTGCCTACAGTCCACAAGACTGGAGCTCGAAACCTGCCCCAGGGTGGCTTGCGAACGACAGTCAACACCCCCGAGACGTTAGTCACCGAAGTGGAGGCTGAGGAGGCGGGCTGGTCAATCCAGCCAACCACGGAATTTCCTTGAGGATTCCTTAGATTCACGGTAGAGGGAAGCGTTGTGGCATTTCAAGTATTTGTGGTGTTCACTGAAATTACAGCTTGCCTGGTGCAGCTTGAGCAATGGGGTGACCTCCCCTCTTTCCACCTGGAGCTTCGCATACATAGGATCCGGAGCTCCACTGACTGTCAAAGTTAAGTCCCGTCATCCAATTGCTGGTACTGCATCGTCCTATCAAGGATCCATCCTACGATGGTCTACAAATCCAAAGCATCAAAGCCTGGCCTTATTGTGTGCAAATTGAAGAGCACTCAATCTACAACTTACACGTCCTGTCCTTGACGACAAACTTCAAGACCAGAATGCTTAGTCAGCTCCAGGTGATTGAGCCCGAGCACTACATGTACTATGCCTGCGGCCCGTGGGGTTTGGGTATTGAGTTTCTGCTAGCGCCACTTGTGGTCAAAAGTGCTTCAGGGCGTTGAGACGGTCAATGTCTGAAGCCGAAAAGTCCAGGAGTTCAGCCCAAACACCGTCCGAACTGATGCAGGATAAGGAAGGCGGGTTGGGATGTGTGTACTTCGGATTCTCCGGGATGGATCGAGTATAAAGAGTGTTGATTGCAGGATCTACCGTCACAGAATTTATGACTATGGTTTTCAAACTTAGGAGCCATGTTTAGGCCTTCACGGTTTTACTGTTTGCGGCTGGAGCACGTTGCAATCGAGGCACAGCAGTATGCTGCCTTGGCGCAGCAGTGACCTTCTGCTTTCCGTGTGAACCACAAGCTTTCTGGAAACTGCATCATCGAACCTTACATTCTTCCGTGGAATACAAGTTGAGGCTCCAAAACTAGATCTCCAAGCGCCGAGGGAGCTTCTGGAATGAGATATTCAAGGAGATGAGTCTTGACCCTGGATGCTAAACTCTCAAAGACTCACCCAAGAGTCATGACAGCTGCAACTCGCAAACCTCTATTCCCTGCCCCCTTCGCTTCAGGGCTTGTTTTTGTTGATGTTGTCCTTGCGGGCAACGCTCGAGCCTTCCTCTCGGGGGCGGCGGCTCAACTTGTTAAGATTTGGAGTTGTCATCCTCATGGCTTCGACTGGGCAGCCCGTGAGTTTTGATCTATCACGCGTCCTTCGGAGGCGCATCCCGCAGCGCAAAAGCTTTCCTACTGCAAGAAGGACTTCATCGACTATCCTCTCGAACTCAAAGATTGAAACTCAAATGTTAAGTCGTCGCGACACCTCCCAATGCGCAATATATATATATATATATATATATATATATATATATATATATCATAAATCTACAGACGAAATCACTGGATGGATTCTCCAAAGCTACATCCGAGCCTGGCCTCAGACAGGTACGCAGCATACGCTCAGTACTGCGCACAATTCGCGCCGCAGGCCTGACTGATGTTTCTGCCTGTCTCTTCGTGTTTGTTTGTCTGCCAGTCGGTGCCTCCCTTTCTGAATCTCTCTCCGTCGGCCTCTCTCTGCGGGGCTTCACTATGCCCACACTACCATTTACATGCAAACTTCCACCTACGCAGGCATGCGGACACCACTAGTCTCAGCACTTGTGCGGCAACCACACTCTAGAAAAAAGTAGCAGTTGCGATTGCCAGTGCTGCTGTTGACAGTATGCTATTGTCGAAGGTGGTGTTGATGACGATGGTGATGGTGGTGATGTTGCTGACATCGACGATGATGCCGATGACTGCGGAAAGAAGCATGCTTACGATCGTCGTCCTCAACACCATCACAAGTTGATGCCTTTTGCGGTGCTGCTATTCACATCCCAGCTCATTGTTCTTCGTACGGTTGTATTGCTATTTGGCCCCTGCCTTGCCTGTTGCCTGCCTCTGCCCGCCTGCCTGTGCCTGCATGCTGCCGGCCTACCCAACTCCTCCCCATTGTGTGCCTGTGTGCATGCTTATGTTTAGATGTCGATGTAAACATAGGTTTACAGTTGAGTCTTTTTAAACTTGAGTTTGTGATGTTCGGTTTGAAGCTTTAGATATAGATACAGATACATCTGTGGATCTGCATGTAGAAACAGATTTAGGTATGATAAATAAGTACAGCACAGGTACAGGCGTAGAAAAAGTATAGATAAAGATAGAGATATAGACATAGACAGAGGCATAGATGTGGAAACGTCCCTGTGCGTGCGCATATGTATGTAAATGTAAATGTATATATATATATATATATATATATGCTACCCCCCCCCCTCAGGTACCCAGGTTTTCGTCTTTATGCTGATAGCACGAAGGAAGTCGGACAGAAAAGGCTGCAAGTGCACGCGCATGGTCGCGACAAGCCGACATATAGTACTAGTAGTGAGCGAGTGTGGCAAAACTGCAGCGTATTTCGAAGCAGGCCTACTGAAACCCACTAAGACAAAGCGTTTTGCACGGCATGGAGGTCATACTGTAACATCCCCAAGGCCATGCGCGCAGATTCGGATCAAGGTGGATAGTGGCTATGTTTAATTGGCTGTCGTTATGGTTTTTACACACGCAACAATGCCATTGCTGTGGTGGGTTTTGCAGACCCTCACATGAATTGCTGTGTTCATTGGTTCATACAGCCATTTATGGAATATGCCTAAAGCAGTGTCATATAGTGTCAGTATACCTGTCAAAGCCTTTAGTCTTAGCATCACTGTACAATGATTCATGCGTGTCTGTCAAATTAGCAGTCAATAGCGACAAAAGTATGAAACCGTGTTTCACGATGGTGTGTGTAGGTTTCGCAATTTTTACTGGATGTATAGTCTCCATTGCCTTAGGTATCCGATCTCCGTTTTTTTTCTAAGTCATGAAACTGCTGCATAATCTTGTTCTTCTATAACGAGTTCAAAATATCAAGTGTGGTTTTAGTATTCACCTCTCACAGTGTTGTTATCACATCTTGTAAAGTTGCCATTATTCCTGTTACCGTGGTGATCATACTTCACCAATACCAGCCATTTAGCACCATGTACCACCCGGCTTTCTGCATCAAGTTTCAGTGTGTCAATTACTGGTGTGATTGTTCATTCAGAGTACTTCGTATATTGTTCAGGAACCTTGCTTCCCAAGCATTATAAAGTAAATGTAGTACCTGCTGAGTTTTGTGGTTTATACATTTTGCTAAGTTGAATATAGACCTATCAGAGAGTACCACGTGAATACGTACACTTGTGTTTCAAAGACTTCTTGGTAGGATGATGGTCAACCAATTCGCACATTTGCTTGCTTCTTTACCTGCTGAGTGTGGGTTGTTAGTGTTCCAAATCGAACATGATCCAACACGCCGTGGCTGCGTATTACACTCTAGTTTTTTCACGTCATGTGACTTCGACATGTTTAATCCGAGTTCAGTTCATCAAAAGTGTGTGCATCATATAATATGCATTTTATTGTTCGCAGAATCGTTTTCGAAATTCTGCGCCTACCGAATGATGACAGAATTCTGGTGCAAATGGTAGTCTTTCGACTGCTAAGTTGAGTATAAACCTGTCAGAGAGTACCACGTGAATACGTACACTTGTGCTTCACAAACTTCTTGGTAAGATGATGGTTAACCAAGCCACACATTTGCTTGCTTTTTTACCTGCTGAGAGTGGGCAAACACCAAGCAACATAAGTAAATACTTTCTACATTAATCTTAAGAAGTAAGTGATTAAACCAACACAAGCATGTTCGTGCAGCAATAGCTTTCCTATAATAAAGTTTTGAATCTTAGACATGGTATATAGCCTTGTACGTGATAAACAGAAAACCCATGAACTTGTGTTAAGCCCATAGCGTCTTCAAGCGAAGACTATTAACTACCTAGCTTCGTGTTGGACCAACTCGTGAGTTTAATCAAGGATGCAAACAACTTACCGGCCTGTTTGCAAAACACCTCGCGCGAGTACGTAAGATCTGCTCAATCGCCAATTTCGGTAACAACGTCTTGAAATATGTACCTGTGGACAATGTTGGCGAAACCAACATGTTCAACTATTCCCATGGATCTGGAGAAACTTTGGGAGCAGGAGCCATAGTTTCGGGAATAATGCAAGTTGGTGGAAATGTTGGTAAAACCAACAATTTCCATGATTCCCCACAGACAAATCATTGAAATTGTTGTTTTTGCCAACATTTCCAACAATTTCCATGAATTTGGAAAACCTCGGGAGCCCGAGGCATAGTTTCGGGAATCATGGAAATTGTTGGAAATGTTGGTAAAACCAACAATTTCCATGATTCCCCTCAGACAAATCATGGAAATTGTTGGTTTTACCAACATTTCCAACAATTTCCATGAATTTGGAAAAACCTCGGGAGCCCGCGCCATAGTTTCGGGAATCATGGAAATTGTTGGAAATGTTGGTAAAACCAACAATTTCCATGATTCCCCTCAGAGAAATCATGGAAATTGTTGGTTTTACCAACATTTCCAACAATTTCCATGAATTTGGAAAACCTCGGGAGCCCGAGGCATAGTTTCGGGAATCATGGAAATTGTTGGAAATGTCGGTAAAACCAACAATTTCCATGATTCCCCACAGACAAATCATGGAAATTGTTGGTTTTACCCACATTTCCAACAATTTCCATGAATTTGGAAAAACCTCGGGAGCCCGAGCCATAGTTTCGGGAATCATGGAAATTGTTGGAAATGTTGGTAAAAACCAACAATTTCCACGATTTGTCTGAGGGGAATCATGGAAATTGTTGGTTCTTCCAACATTGCCAGCACGTTCCATGAATTTGGAGAAAATTCGGGAGCAAAAATACAGTAGATACTACACTTAGGAGCCCCGGGAGCCACAGCAAACGAAAACGCGCTTTCCCAGAGACGCAACGACCAAGGAACACAAACAAATATTAGGAAGGCTTCTGACTTGAACAGGACACGACCTGGGTACCGGGGGGGGGGGGGGGTACCATATATATATATATATATACATACATACATACATATACACGCATGAGCATCTATCAAAACATCCGCACTTGTAGTTAAGAGCAGCGTAGTCGTGGAATTCCAGATTTGGCCAAAACCCTGAAAAAGCGATAGGAACCCCCAAAAAGCGATACAATTAACGAAGATCATTTGTTACATTCATACTATGAATATGTATACATGTACAGCTAGAGTTAGAGATGCAGATATATGCGTATGTATAGATATAGATGTAGATACATACCTTTCGGTGGCTGAGGTGTGTACATCAAATTAAGAATGCACGCACAGATATACAGACATATACGCCCTCTGAATGTATAAATACATGTATGTGTGTATATATATATATATATATGTATTTATGTGTTTAGTTATTTAGGAAAACAAACAACATGATTCTGTGTGTTCTTTCATGACCGTGTTTTTGCGCGTGCAATCATTTGAGGCCTTCCGGCCGCTTGTCACACGGGAGTAGTCCTGTGAAGGATCAACCTCTCATCAGCCTTGTGAGCCAAGGCACAGCCAGTAGCAGCCGGAGGTGCCGAAGCAGGCCAAGGAGTGTTTCTAGTAAAGGATTGAGGCCTGTCCGGGGCCAGAAGGAGTTTTGAAGTGCCAGTGGGTTTGGGCTGACCAGAGGTGTTTTTGCCTAGTTTTTCGGAACCTCTTGTGCTGACCACACCAGCCAACTCTTTTGTGTCTGGTGGTGCAGATGGAAAGCAATCTCCATAGGCATGAACAGACTGGCCAACTACCGCATGTATCTCGGCACCATTTCTGCCCCACGCACCAACCCATCCACCCATCCACCCATCCACCCCACCGATCCACCCATCCACCCCACCCACCGATCCACCCATCCACCCATCCACCATCCACCCACCGCCCATCCACCCCCACCACCCCCAAATAATTGTGTGCAGGCAGGCGGAAGGTTTTTTGTGCTTGAGGGCATCTGCTGCAACCATCTGAACCTCCGTCTCGTTCACGCAAGAATGTAGGCGTATTCGTAGTCGTAGTTAACATTTTTATTTGGACGCAGGTCTCCAACAAACTGTTGACAGGCTGACGAGACCTTGTAAAGAAAAAACAGTTCCGAAAATCCCGTATCCTACGCTGCTGCGAGACGTAACACACCGACTGCCTGCGTTTCATTTTCAATCTTTTTGTCCATAAATCCGCCGCTGGTCTTTCGCAATGTCGGCAGCCTGATTTCCGCTCGCAGGTAAGTCCGGGTCTTCTGCAACAGTACCATGGGGGCTATGGCGCAACGGCAGCGCATCAGACTCCACATCAGAAGGTCCGGAGTTCGAATCTCTCTGGCCTCATATTTTCCTAGCTGCATGGTTTTTCAATTTGTCGGCTCGGCAAGAAATCAAATGTACACCGAGAAGAGTCGAACCCTGGCCCAACCAACACCCGCTGGCCCCCAACCCCCACACCCACCCCACCCGCCCCCGCCCCCACCCGCCCCCACCCGCCCCCGCCCCCACCCACCCCCACCCCCACACGCCCACACGCCCACACCCCCACACCCCAACACCCCCCACACACCCACACACCCACACACACCCACACCCACACCCCCACCCACACCCACACACCCACACACCCACACACCCACACACCCACACACCCACACACCCACACACCCACCCACCCACCCACCCACCCACCCACACACCCACACACCCACACACCCACACACCACACACCCACACACCCACACACCCACACACCCACACAC